TTGCTGCGCCGATGCGGGACCGCTAGCGGAACCCCAGCGAAGGGTCAAGCACGAGGAAGCATCGAACGACAGGGTTGCCTTGGTGGGGATGGGGGCTGTCCGCGGTGAGGCAAGGACTTGGCCCTGAATAGGAAGGGAGGAAGTCTCGAGCAAGGCTGCTGCTGTTGCGGGGACCGGCGCCAATGCTGAAGAGAGTAGGACGCTACTCCAGCGTAAAACAAAACGAAGTCTCGAGCGGGAACGCTGCTTTTGTTGGGACGGCGGTTTTCGGCGGCGAGGAGGAACACCGCCTTGAGTAAGAAAGGAGGAAGCATCGAGCGGGAGCCGTGGTCTTGTCGGGACGGGGGCTGTCGGCGGCGAGGAACAGCACCGTCCCGAGGAAAAAGAAAGGAAATCTTGAGCGGGAGCGTTGTTCTTGCTGGGAGCGGCGCCAATTCAAACGAGAATTGGGCGCAACTCCAGCGTAAAACGGAAGGAAATCTCGGGCGAGAGCGCTGGTTTTGTCGGGGCGGCGGCTTTCGGCGGCAAGGAGGAACACCGCCTTGAGTAAGAAAGGGAAGAAGCATCGAGCGGGAGCCGTAGTTTTGTCGGGACGGGGGTTGTCGGCGGCGAGGAACAGCACCGTTTTCAGGACAAAGGGAGGAAGCCTCGAGCGGGAGCGTTGTTCTTGCTGGGAGCGGCGCCAATTCAAAAGAGACTTGGGCGCCAGTCCAGCGTAAAAAGGAAGGAAATCTCGGGCGGGAGCGCTGGTTTTGTCGGGGTGGCGGCTTTCGGCGGCGAGGAGGAGCACCGCCTTGAGTAAAAAATGGAGGAAGCCTTGAGCGGGAGCGTTGTTTTTGCTGGGGGCGGCGCCGATGAGAGAAAGACAAGCGCGCCAGTCCAAGGTAAAACGGGAGGACGTATCGAGTGGGAGCGTTGGTTTTGTTAGGACGGCGGCTTTCGGCGGCGAGCAAGAACACCAGCCCTGAGGAAAAAAGGAGGCGGTCTCGAGCGGGAGCGTTGTGTTGGTGTTGTTGGTGTTGTTGGTGTTGTTGTTGTTGGGGGGCCGGTTTTGGCGGCCCCCCAAACCGCTCGAGCGTGAGCCTCATTTTCAATGAAAATGTAGCCGGCGCCTTGGCGAGAGCGCCAGGGCGCCTGTAAGGGGCCAACACGAATAATTGCTTAGTAATCAACACTCAACAACAACAACAACAACAACAACAACAACAACAACAACAACAACAACAACAACAACAACAACAACAACAACAACAACAACAACAACAACAACAACAACAACAACAACAACAACAACAACAACAACAACAACAACAACAACGACGACGACGACGACGACAACAACAACAACAACACAGCAGCAGCAGCAGCAGCAGCAGCAGCAACAACAACAACAATAATTTTAAGACTGTTCGCCCTTCAATGCTCGAGTGTCCAATAACGCGTATTTCCCAAACCCTCGATACCCGCCCTCTTCGTCTTCGATCGAACCCCTTTTCGGGGGTATGCCTTTCTTCCCTGCAGGCCGGGCCCCGGCAAGCGGCAGGGCGGCCGCGGACCGTCAGCCTGGCCAGCGGCAGCGCTGATCGGCGGGGCGGCCGCGGACCGTCGACCCGACCCCAAGAGGGACGGACAGGGAACCGACCACGACGACGACAACGACGACGACGACGACGACGACGACGACGAAGACGACGTCGAAGACGACGGCGACGACGACGACGACGACGGCGACGAGCGAAAGCGAGAGCGAGAGAGAACGACAGCAGGGCCACGAAGGGCACGAAGTAGGCCACGAAGGGCGACAGCGGGGACACGAAGGGAATGCGTATGGGGCCACGAAGAGCGCGAACGAGCGGGGGTCACGAAGTGCAGATAATGCGGGGCCACAGAAGGCAACTATGGGCCACTGAGGGTAGCAACTGGGCCACGTAGGACAGTGAGGGGGACACAAATGGCGACAGCGGGGCCACGAAGGGCATGCACATGGGGCCACAACGGGCGCGACTCCTGGGTGCCTGGGTGTCGGGAGCGCGGCGATTGGGCAAATTGCAAGAAATTCCAACGCAAGGCCATCCTTCAGTAAGTTGCAAGCAAGTCTCCAGCGAGAGCGCGACTCCAGAGCGCCAGGAGAGCGATTCCTGAATGAATTGTAAGGAAGTCCCAAGCGAGAGCGCGATTCCTGAATCAAATGCGAGGAAGTCTCGGGCGGGAGCCGGGGTCCTGGCTAAATTGTAAGGAAGTCTCAAGCGGGAGCCGTTGTTGTTGTAACCCGGGGGCCAGGGGCCCAGTTTGAGCATCAAGACTTCCCCTGTCAAAAAACAGGGTGCGAGCGTCGAGGGGCACACTTTGATTGAGAAAAAAACGTATGCACCGGTGGGGGGGATCAACAATAATTATTCTTCAGAAACGAGAATTCAACAACAACAACAACAACAACAACAACAACAACAACAACAACAACAACAACAACAACAACGACGACGACGACGACGACGACGACGACGACGACGACGACGACGACGACAACAACAACAACAACAGCAACAACGTACCCATCATCTCCATCCCCTTATTTCCGCCTACCTGCCTGCCCCCTCCCACCAAATTCCTCCTCCTTCTCTTGTTTGTCATCCCTATTCTCCCTACTTATCATCACTCACGTTCCTCATCTCTCCCGTCCTCCCTACCTCCTTTTGGCCCGCAGTCCATTCTCGCTCCCTCCCCCCCTCCCTCTCCCTCCCGCCCCCCCACTCATGTCCTCCAGTATGAACAAACGTTTAACAAATCATGCACAGAGTGGAATTGGGAGGAGGACATGGAACACGTTACGTGTGGGGGAGGGAGACCATACGATCGAAGCCAAATGGTAGAAGATGGGCAATTCGCGCAGTCCTTGTAGACGAGATGCTTGTCGGGATGGCACTGGAAGCAGACATCGTACAGGCACTTGTTGCATCTCCTCGGACGACAGAAAGGCCGAGGGCAAATAACAGCCTGGAGACCTCCAGGATGGGGGGAAAGGATCCGAGGCCAACCCCCTCGCCCGAACCGTCGCTGGCGTTGAACCACCCCTGGGAGGGGCCGGGACATTTCGGTCAGCCCAATCTCCAGCGCTTGCTCTTGTCGCCGCCCAGGTGGCCGTCCTTCGACTTGCCTCGTCAGCGCGAGTCGCCATGGGCCATCACCGATCATCGCACGTCTCCACCCAACCACTGTCGACAAACAGCCGTTGGCCGCCCCGCTACGCAGCCCGCGCGGCCACCCCACCCTCCAGCTGGCTACGCGAAGAGCGCCCGCCGCTCAGGAGGCGGTCTGGCACAAGGCAGCGGGGCTCCGGTGGAAACGCGGGCACGGGCCCTGAGCCTCGGGGCCCTTCCAGGCGCAAGAGTGACCCCAGGCAGGAGTGGCCTTTAGTGCGCGTTTGTTTTTCGCAGCACGAACTCCTTGCTCGATGCTCCACAGTCCGTAGTCTGACAGGTCAGGCCGTGCCCCCGCACTGAAGAAGACGAGGAGAGAGGCGGCAGCAGCAGCAGCAGGAGGAGGAGGGCAAGGGCGCATATATGGCCTTTGCGCGGCGCAGGAGGGGGGGCGCTGGGGGAGGACAACCCCAGGCGCGCTAACCGCTGCTGCCGCATCGCATTCGGCGACCGAGAGGCCCCGTTGGGCCCGCACCAGGGGTCACTCCGGCGAAAGGCCACTCGTACGCGTAACTCGATCCCGCGGGAGTGGGAGGGGGAGAACGAGCAAGAGGGGGCGTTCGAACAGGAGCAGCAGCGGGCCCAGATCCCTGACACCATGATTTTGTTCGCAACGTCGACCCCCACAGGTCTCGGCCCAGTCCCAGGAACCAGCTTTTCATCCTGAGTTGATTATGAACGGCCCAGTAGGGCCCCCAGAGGCCGAACCTTGCGAAACACCTCCCGTCGTGAATTGCTCCACGACTCGAGGGGGTCTGGGGAGGAGGAGGCTGAGGAGGAGGAGGAGGAGGAGGAGGAGGACCCTCGGAAGCAGACAGAGGGCGAGGGTGCCACGATCGCTGCCGCGCCCGAGCAAGCTGGCCGTTCGGGGCGGCGGGAGGCTGAGAGTTGACGGGGCCGCTCTGCCAAAGCAGGCTCACCTCCGGAGCGGCGGGCACGAGGGCCCCGTCGCGGGCGTCCGTGGCAGCGCCACAGGCTGCAGCCAAGGCCCGCGGCTGCGGCACCGACGCCCCGTTCCCAGACCCCCTCGCGCCATGAAAAAGTCACGACGGGAGGTGCTTCGCCATGTTCGGCCTCTGGTGGCCCATACTGGGCCTCGGGACCGTCAAAATACGACTCGGGATGAAAAACCGGCCCCCATGAAGAAGTCATGACGTGGGGGGTCTGGGCGGGCTGCAGCCCAAGCCCGTGTCTGCGGCACCGTCGTCTCGCTGCAGGCCTCCAGGCCGTCCGAGCAGACGGGGTCGGAGGATCGCGCCGCATCGCCCACGCCGACACATCTGCGATGCATCGGCGATGCATCGGCGACGGCGGCGCAGAGAAGATCGGGCTTCACAGCGTGCCGCGTCGCCGATGCTCCGACGATGCAGCACGGCCCTCCGACCCCATCCACGCTGACCCCACTCGGGAAGTACAGGCCCCTCTGGCGGCGGGATCGGCCACCGCCCTCTCCCGCTCCTCGGGTGTCCCGGGGGAGTCGGCGACATCTCGGGGGTCCTCAACAGACGAAGACAAACCTGCATTGGCATAAACGTTCAGAAGTCCGCGCAGATGTCTTGGATCTGCGCTGAATCCCCAAAGACATCCGCGCGGACCGTCGAGAGTTTATGTTTGTGCCGTTCTTTCTTCTTCGATGCCAGGGGGTCCACCACGGCGCTCTGCGCTGACACCACTCTCTGGGCACAGTCCACGGTGTGCAGGCGTTGGTCGCGGCGCGCCCGAGGGCCCCGTTGTCTCACACGGTGATGGATGTCGGACCTTCAGGGCATGATCAGGCCGAATCCAGGCCTTGCCAATCGATGGTCATTGTGGTGCGATGTCGCTCTTCCGGATGTTCCTACTTATCTTCATGGATCCCGGCATGGTCTGGGCCACAGGCAAGTCCAACTCACGGAGCAGACGGCCCTGCAGGTGCTGAAGTATCCGGATCAACTTGTTCCGGCGAGTGCACAACTCTACCGCCCCATCGAACCGCTTCGCCAGCGACGCCGAATGCACGAAGCCCTGCAGAGAGTGAGCATTGCAGGAAGCAGTCTGTTGCGCACCTAGAGGAACAGAAAACTGCATAAAGTTAAACGTTCGCAGCTCCGCACAATCTTTGTTGTAGACGCGCTGGACCCCCAACCCTGGCGCGCGGAGCGCACCAAGGGCGGCGCTGCAGGCGCCGCCAGGGGGCCCAGCGCAGATCTAAGAAATCCGCGCGGAGCTCCGAACATGTATGTTCATGCCGTCTTGTCTTCTTCGAGCACCGTCACGATGTTCGAGACCATGAAGGAGGGCCACGGATCACACTCATGGGGGGTTCCAGATCACGGCTCCAGGTTGACCTCAGCCCCGGCGCGGCAGCAGCGCGGACCGACGCCCTGCTGGGGAAACCGAGAGGTACCCATACCGCTACGGTCGGGAACGTTTGCCGAGCGTGTCGCCGCGGCGGCCCCAGCGACACGCTACGCCTTGCGAGTGGATAGAGTGTCGCTCTGCTCCGTGGGGCGGGAAGCTCGGAAAGGCTCGGGACGTTGACGCTTGGGGACTGGGAAGAGGATAGCGTGACTGGCCGAAGCGTGATTGGCCAGAACCGGCGGAGCGACACACCATCCGAGAGTTCCCGAATGTACTCCCCAGACCTCTCCCAGGGTGCCTCCCAGCAGGCCAGACTTGGCGAATACGAGGAAGACGCGACGTCGCGAGAAAACTGCAACATCGTGAAACGTCACGACCAGACCCAATGGCCCCATCTTTCTGCGTCATTTGTCAAGCCGGATCGATCTGTGATGGCCCCAGACCCCAAAACCAGACCGAAACGCTAGGTGTAACAAAATCGCAACGTCCTGTGTGAAAAAACTCCCGGTAGCGTTATTGGTACACCCAGACTCCCGACGTCATGATTTTTTCATGACGTCGACCCCCAGAGGTCTCGACCCTTCCCCCGGGACCAAGTGGCTTCATCCCGAACCATTTCTTGGGCGGCCCCGAGGCACGGCAAGGGCCCCCAGGGGCCGAAATTTGCACACAAAAAACTCTTGTCGCACTGGTTGTCACGACTCGAGGGGGTCTGGGCCCTCTCTCGGGTCGGGCGAAAGGGGGGGATAGCAAAGGGGGGGTTTGAGAATCAGCTCGCGTAGCTGATTTTCCCGGCGCCTCCCGGCGCCGGAGGCGGCTATGTATCGAGGACTGGGCCCCTCGGTGAAGCCCAAACCAGCTGCATGCAGCAAATTTCGTAACCCCCCCTTTCCCAATCCCCCCCTTTCCCCCGGCCCGACTCTCCTCTTCTGAGCCTGAGGGGCAACGATGGGGGGGGGGACCGGCGCAGGGGGGGGACCCGTCGACCTGGAATCGACCGCACACCGCCGATGCATCGGCGCTGGGCCCCCGAGGGCGGATCCGCAGGCTCCCTGGGGGGGGTGGGCTATTGGGCCCCTGTCGGCGCTCAGCGAGCGACGGGAGGTCCACGCGCGCCCCCCAGGAGCCTACTCCTCCTCCTTTGAAGGGGAACTGGAGCACACGAATAAATTCACACAAATAAAAAGGTTCCCCATACTTTCTCGTATGTTCTGGGCTTTTTTGTCTTCCCCCCCACTTCCCATATTTTCCCATATATTTTTTTGGGGGAATCGAGGATGAATTGTGTCTGTGTGTTTCTTTTCCTCCTCCTCCTTGCCGTTGCCCCAGAGAAAGCCTCAGCTCGGCGCCGCAGCGGCGTGGGCTGGCGCCCCCTGCCCCGCGGCGCCAGCGCCGCCGCCGCCCGGGGTCGCGAGCAGCGCGCGGTTCTCGGGCGTGGCCTCGGCGCCGCAGTACTCCACGACTTCCGCCTGGAGCCACGGAGTTTGCAACGAAGTCGTCGTCGTCGTCGTCGTCGTCGTCGTCGTCGTCGTCGTCGTCGTCGTCGTCGTCGTCGTCGTCGGCGTCGGCGTCGGCGTCGGCGTCGGCGTCGTCGTCGGCGTCGGCGTCGGCGTCGGCGTCGGCGTCGGCACCGGCGTCGTCGGCGTCGTCGACGTCACGAACCCAGACCACCTCGGGCCATGAAAAAATCAGGACGGGAAGTTTTTGCCTATTTTCGGCCCCTGGGGGCCCTCGCCGGGCCTCGGGACCGTCAGAAAACGACTCAGGATGAAAAAGCGGTCCCAGGGAATGGGTCGGCATCCCTGGGGGTCGACGTTGTGAAAAAAAATGACGTCGTGTGTTTGGGAAGCTTGCAACGAAGTTTGCAACGAATGCGGCATCAAGTTGCAACGAAGTCTGCGTTTGACGGCCGCGCTGCACGCTGACCTTCTTGCCCTGGCAGCGCACGCTTCGAACTGCCCACGCGCCGAATGGCGTTCGATTGGAGGCGGCCAGAGGGTCTGAGCTGGCTGGGCCCTGAAAAAATGTGTCAAGAAGGGGGGATGAAGCCAAATCCGCTCAGAATCGATCCCTGGACCCCAACTGGGGTCCATCTGGTGAAGTGTTTGACCGCGGATCCGTTTTTGACGGTCCTGGGGCCTGACCTGAAAAAGGCACCGGGGAGCCCGAAAAAATACCGAAAACCTTCCCGAGCCCAGCACCGCGAGCCTGCCCCCCCCCCCTTCCTGCTGGCTGGAACCAATGCTGGCCCACCTCAGACCCCCAGCCAACTCCAGGCAAACGGCTCCTTGAGATCCGACGGCGCGAAAATTTCAAGCATCGTGAGCAATCGCGACCAGATCCTCTGCGCTATTTTTCTAGCCGCATCGATCTGTGAGGGTCCGGGGGACACACAAGCCCGACGAAAATGCCCGCCTCCAAAATGTTCAGACGCCAGGACCTCAAGGCTTCTCGTAGGACTCACAAAGAGGTTCTAGTACTATACTTCCGCCTTGGAGGCGCGCGTCCGACCCGAACGTATAGTATACCCATCGTGCAGTCTACCGTTTCTCGAGCGGTGTGGCAAGAAAGCGCCCGCCACGAGGCAGATACTATAAGACTTGTCGGTGCGCGCGGCGGCCCTTAGGGGGGGCGACGAACACATAGTACTAGTATGTTGGGGTGACGCCGAAGATCGGGCACGCATACATTACATGGCAGATTCGTGTCGTGCTGACCTGGGCGTTAATCACTGACACAGCGAGGACCGTTCAACCTTGAACGATCGGCCGTTTCCGAGAGGTCAGATCGTTCAGCATCGACCGCTTCTGGGTCGCCGGGGGACGCCGATCTCGGGTCGGGCGAAAGGGGGGGATAGCAAAGGGGGGGTTTGAGAATCAGCTCACGTGGCCGATTTTCCCGGCGCCTCCCGGCGCCGGAGGCGGCCATGTATCGAGGAACGGGCCCCCCGGTGAGGCCGAAACCAGCTGCATGCAGCAAATTTCGTCACCCCCCCCTTTCCCAATCCCCCCCCTTCGCCCGGCCCGATACATCCCCCCCTATGCCTATCCCCCCCCTATCGTTGCCCATGCCTATCCCCCCCCTATCCCCCCCCATGCCTATCCCCCCCCTATCCCCCCCTATGCCTATCCCCCCAATCCCCCCCCTTCGCCCGGCCCGCCGCTCTCGCCCGCCCCCTCCGCCTGGAGCCCGTGGCGCGCCAGGAACGCGGCGCGCCCCGCGTCGAGGAAGCCCCGGCAGGCGCGGCCCACCGCGCGCCGGCGGGCGGCGAGCGGCCCCCCCGGGCGGCTGACGGCCCACCTCGGAGCCCAGGCGACGACGACGACGACGACGACGACGACGACGACGACGACGACGAGGAGAAGGAGGAGGAGGAGGAGGACGGGGGGGAGGAGGAGGACGGGGGGGAGGAGGAGAAGGAAGAGGAGGAGGAGGAGGAGGAGAAGGAGGAGGAGAAGGAGAAGCAATCCGAAGCCCTGGCGGGGGGCCAGGGCCAGAGGAAGCCACGGGTGGCCACGGGAGGCCAGGGAGGCCGGAGCCCAGGCAAGCAACGTCATGTAGCCTCCTCTCTGTCAGGGGATGCAGTGACCGAAACTGTGCCCGAAAATCTGCCCGAGTGTGGCCGAAACCTGCGCCCGATGTTCTCCGAAGGTGCCCGAGCGTGACCGAAAATTTCGGCTCGAAAAAAATACGACGGTCCATTTCGGTCACAACTTCGGTTACACGATTTATTTGGTCACGGTTTCGGGCACGTGCTCAGTCACATCATATTCTCGGTCGCATACATTTTCGGCTGATAGGGGCCAGGCGCCATGAGCAACGCACTGAAAAAACAGCACGGATATTTCTGTATTTTCTGCCTCTGGGGGCCGTTACCACGCCCTGGAACCGTCGAAAAACAGCTCCGCATGGAAAACTCGCCCTGGGGAAAGGGTCGGGATTTCCGGAAACCACCTATGGGGAAAAAAACAAGACATTGCACGTCTGGGAGTGGGAAGAGGTGCCGACACCGCGACCGCTTCCCTTCGTTTTCGCCGCTTTGAGCCTCCTGGGACGCCCTCGTCGCCACGGCTGGTTTCGCCTCGAAGCTCTGGCCCTGGCCAGAACGCACCCCGGGAGAGGTCTGGGCACGGTCTTACACCATCCCTGAGTGCGTGGGTGAAGTGGGATTCTGTGTCCTGGACTCTGCTTGTTTGTTTGTTTGTTGAACCTAAACATTTGTTGCTGAACACCCTGAAGACGTTCCGGCGCCCTCGCCGTGAGCACGACTGCATTTCCTTTGAAAATGAAGCCCACGTTCAAGCGTTTCGGGACTGCGCCGAAACAGGCCCCACCGACATCAACAACAACAACAACAACAACAACAATCATTTTACCCGAACGCTCAGTGTTCTCACCAGTGCCAGGGTTTTCATGCGACGCGAGACAATACCCCCACTTCGTGGGGGGGCAGTTCAAGCTCTACCAAATATCCAAACGACTCTTCGCGACCACCCAAACCCAGCTTCCCGCCCTATGACGTTGGGACACTTCACTTCGTGGCGTGCGGACGACCGTGGCTACTACACTGGCGTGGGGTACACACCCACAGAACTTGGTCACTTATTCGGGGCGCGCGTGTGCCCAGCATCCTGCAATTGTGACATACAATACATGACACAGACAGACAGACAGAGAGAGACAGAGAGCAGACAGAGAGAGAGACAGAGAGAGCGGAGTTGGTCACATTTTTGGGGCAAGTTCCTGAGATCGTCGTGTTTTTTGTTGGTCTTGCGCGCGCGAATGTCCACTTTACTTTTTTTTTGCAAGGGATGTTGAAATTTGATTATGTAAGAACAAGAAAAAGTAGCTCGCGCGAGCTTATGTAACATAAATGTTGAAAAACCATTGGTTTTGTGGGAGTCGGACAGCGCGCGCGGGATGAAATTTGGACATTTTTTTTTGAAAAACCATTGGGTTTTTGATGTTTTTATGTTGAAATCGTTACGAAACCTAAGGTTCTGGAAGGATTTCGTCTTGCGCGCGCGAATGTCCACTTTACCTTATTTTTTGCAAGGGATTATTGAAATTTGATTATGTTAGAACAAGAAAAAGTAGCTCGCGCGAGCTCATGTAACATAAATGTTGAAAAACCATTGGTTTTGTGGGATTCGGACAGCGCGCGCGGAAGGACATTTTGACAATTTTTTCTTAAAAAACCATTGGGTTTTTGATGTTTTTATGTTAAAATCGTTACGAAACCTAAGGTTTTGGAAGGATTTCGTCTTGCGCGCACGAATGTCCACTTTACCTTATTTTTTGCAAGGGATTCTTGCAATTTGATCAAGTAAGAACAAGAATTTTCATTTTATAGTATTTTTTACAAGGGAAAGCGGGGGGGAACAAAACAACCGGATCCGGACACAATCGTTTTGCCTGAGACTTCCTCACGAAAATGATGAAAATGTAGCTGCGGCCTAGGCGCGGCGGGGGGGCCGTGCACCAGGGGTCCCAACAATAATTATTCTTAAGAAGAAATAATGTTCAAACAACAACAACAACAACAACAACAACAACAACAACAACGACAACGACAACAACAGCAACAACAGCAACAACAACAACAACAACAACAACAACAACAACAACAACAATTACTAGCACGTGGGGACACTCCGTTCTCACCAGTGCCAGGGTTTTCATAGGAGGCGGGCAATACCCCCACTTTGTGGGGGGGCCGGTTCAAGCTCTACCAAATTTCCAAACGACTCTTCGCCACCACCCACACCCAGCTTCCCGCCCTATGACGTTCGGACACTTCACTTCGTGGCATGCGGACGACCGTGGCTACTATTCAGGGCCCCGCGGCCGACGACGACGGCGTGCGCGCGCGAAGAAAAAACGAATGTGTCCCGCATGGTATTATTTGACAGGGATGATGGCCCTGGCAGGTGCGCAACCGTTGTTGCAGAAGTTCGAAAAAGTTGCTCGCAAAAGCCCGTTTGACAGAAATGATTAAAAAGTGTTGGGTTTCCTACGAATCCGCAAGAGCGCGCGGGATGAAATTTTGACAATTTTTTTTGAAAAACCATTGGTTTTTTGATGTTTTTATGTTAAAATCGCTACGAAAACTAAGGTTTTGGAAGGATTTCGTCTTGCGCGCGCGAATGTCCACTTTACCTTATTTTTTGCAAGGGATTCTTGAAGTTTGGTTATGTTAGAACAAGAAATGTCCACTTTAGCTTATTTTTTGCAAGGGAAAACCGATCGTAACAACACAACCGGATCCGGACTCCCCCGTTTTGCCTGAGACTTCCTCACGAAAATGATGAAAATGAGGCTGCGGCCTAGGCGCGGCGGGGGGGTCGTGCACCAGGGGCCCCAACAATAATTATTCTTTAGAAGTAATAATGTTCAACAACCACAACAACAACAACGATGATAACAACAACAACATCATCATCATCACCAGCATCATCAACAACAACAACACCAGCAACACCAACAACAACAATGCCGACGACGACAACAACGACGACGACGACAATAACATCAACAACACTCAGTTTAAGACTGGTCGCTCTTATCTGCTCGCGTGCCATTCAACACGTATATCCCAAACTCTCGATACACGCCCTCTTCGTCTTCGACCGTACCCCGTAGGGTGTACATCTTTCTTAAGTGCAACCTGTAATTTGTGCAGCCCCAAAGGCAGGGGAAGAGAGGACGGATGGCAGGGACAAGGTGGAGGGAGGCGGATGCAGCACGACAGACAGTAGTATGAGGGGGGCCAGGAGCACAAAACACGTGGCAGAACCAGACGAGCATATCAGGCGGGTAGACCCTAACAAGCGGGTCGGGAAGGAGGGCCCAGGCAGCCAGGTCGAGCAGGCGGGTTGCTGAAGCGTGCGTCCTGCATGAATCGGGAGGAAGTGTCGAGCGATAGCGCGGATTCCAAATAGATCGTGAAGAAATCCACAGCGAGACCGAGAGCGTGATTCCATTATGTCGAGGACGCGGCGTCCGAATACATCGCGAGGAAGTCCCACGCGAGAGCGCGATTCCTGCATGAATTGTGAGGAAGTCCCGCGCGCGAGCGCGATTCGGAAATAAATTGTGAGAAATATCAGGCGGTAGCCGCTGTTGTTGTAAACCAGGGCCTAGCAACACAGTTTGGTAACACCTCATTCTCCTTTGTAAAAAAAACACGGTGCGAGCCCCAGGAGAAGCACTTTAATTGGAAAATAGCATGGTTGACGAAAGGGGGATCAACAAAAGTTATTGTTTACCAGTGAGATTTCAATCATTGCGCCAGGAAGCGGAATGATTCTATATGCAGCATTCATCTATCATGGCAGCTCGCCACTCATGGTGGATTTTGTCTTGCACAGGGGCGCCCGACATTCCCTTACCCAGATCTCCCGCCCGAGGAGGTCTTGACAACACCTCTTCCGAGGCAGCTCATCATCTCCAGCCTGAATGGCACATCGCCTTCGCAATCGCCCTGCCTATGCCTTATTTCAATTTATCTCCACGCCCGAGTGGCCCAAGACCTTTTTGGGGAGAGGGCCCCACAAACTCTGTCTGGGAGAGGGAATCCCTTGGACAGCCTCTGGAGCCCCTTGGAGATACCCCGGGGCCTCTCAGAGAAGCTTCAGACTCCTGTGGGAAACATGAGAACCACTGGGAAATGCTGTAAAACTGGAAAAAGGAGGATTCCGGAGCATCTTGAGAGAGGCCTCACGGCATTGTTGGAAAAGGCGTGGATCGGAGGAGCTATTGGGCCTCGATCAAAGAAGAGGAGGAGGGAGCAGGATGCAGAGGAAGTAGGAGGACTAGGAGGATGAGGAGAAGGAGGCGGAGAAGGAGGAGGAGGACGACGACGACGACGGGGTCGCCGCCGCGGGCTCTCGGACCGCCCCTGGCACGCGGAGCGCGCCAGGGGGGCACCGGCGCAGACCTGCGACAGTGCATGCTGCATCCCTGAAGACCGCTTCTGGGGACTAGGGTGGCCCAGGGCCTCTGGGAGTCTTGAGCAGAAGCGGGGGAAGCATCGAGCGGGAGCGCCGTTGTCTGGACGGGGGGCCGTCTGCGGCGCCGAGGCGGGAGCGCCGGTCCCGAGTAAGAAACGCAAAACAACGAGCGGGAGCGCCGGCTTTGCTGGAAAGCGGGCTTTCGGCGGCGAGCAGGAGCCCCAGTCCCGAGTAGAAGACGAGGATGTATCGAGCGGGAGAGTTGTTGTTTTTGTTGGTGGTGTTGTGGTTGTTGGGGTTGTTGCTGTTGTTGTTGTTGTGGTTGTTGTTGTTGTGGTTGTTGTTGTT